ATCTGCTCTACTGTCCTTTTTTTTAGAGGGGTTGTAGAGACTGCCGCCATTGTGAATGAGGCCTCACTTTCCTGTTGAGGGCTGACAACACACAGGATTTTGTGCAATCAAATTTACAAGAAAGGGTGTCAGTCCTGCTCAGTTTTCTTTTACTGAAGCCTTCTCATCTCCTCATTTCTACAACATAGAGAGCAATTGTTCCTTAGTACAAGATAAAGTACTGGGAGGGTTGACTGGGCTTATTGATATAACAGAGAAAGAAGACCAATCACTATTTTTGTGCACTTATCGAACAGATATTTAAAAAAAATCAATGGTTTACTTAAAAATAACAAACGTTCATTGTTAAGGTTGACATCCAGTTGTTTATTCATGAAATATATATATATATATATATATATATATATATATATATATATATATATAAAACTATATATACACACACATACATATTACCTGAAACTAGTGTAGATATCCAATATCAGCATTTTTAAATCCCCTGTACAGCAATATGCAGGTGAAGAATGTGAGTTCCAGCAAAAGAAGCCAATCAGGCTCAGATGGCTGTGAACATACTGACAGTAGGAGAAAGCAAGGTGATGATGTATCACTGTGCTGCTGTTACTTTATTGTCAGCATGCTGGAGGTGTGTTCCTGACCAAGCTGTGCCATTGTAGAGATAAATAACCTGTCTGGGTTGTGTGTCAGGGATGCCTGCATGCTGTGCATTTTGGTGTTTGCCTGGAGTTCAGATTTAAGCAGATTAAAAATTAAGAAAGAAGTTATGAACCACAACTGTGACCCACGAAATGTCTCTGGTTGTTTACTGCTGAATTACACACTACCCTTCAACTTTTAATAACTGGGTAGTGTTGATACTGTCTTTTTTTCTGACTACATATGACAGTATAGCAAAATGACCCTTCATTTAACATTGAGAAAACAAGCTTCAAAGTAATCTGAAAATGCCTTTTTTTTTTAAATAATGAGCAAGACCGTTCTGCATGCAGAAATAAATTATTATTTGGAACACTTTCATCATTCAATTTACAATATGTCACCTATGCTTAAAAAAGGATGGAGCTGAGCCGTTACAGATGACATTTTCCTACATTAACAAATAAAAAAATTATAGTATTAAAAAGGCAATTTATTTAAGCATTGTGAACTGTGAACTTGCTGGCACTTCTTGGTATAAACAAATAACAATTACTGACAGTACCATATAACACGCTATATTTCAGATCAACAATAACTGTTAACCTTATAAATACTAAGGGCCTGACATTTCATTCCCAGAAGGGATTATGCTAATCTAGCTCTACATCCGTCTTTCTAGCTGTATACGTAATTTTCTTTTCACATCCCTCATGTAATAAAAACTCAATGCAAAGCCACAAAAGCATTTCAGTTATTAGTGGGTTAAACCAGTATCTACAATTACAAATAGTCGATATTAATACTAGCTTGTTGTTCATGAAGTAATTGTGCTTAAAGAAAAAAAAAAAAAAATATATATATATATATATATATATATATATATATATATATTTTTTTTTTTTTTCTTCTGAATTCTTACATTCTTAATTTAACCTTGTATTTGCCAGGCCAGGTACTACATGGGGTTCTTGCAAGTGAATTTCATTCATACTCAATGGCTGATGCAGAATGGTTACTTAAATTAGAGAGATGATTTTTGCCTTAGCCTCAGTTCACCTCCAATCCCTTTCACAGGAAATATTCATTTTTCTTTCATTCTCATGAACTTGATTGGATATTTGGGGTGAACATAGGCTAGCTTGAAAATGACTGCTTCAATAAATCAGCCTCTAACTGTCTGATTTAATCAGCGGCCACCAAAGTAGCAAAACTCTTACATGCTACACCCAATCAGGTTACGGGAATTTAGAAAAGTTGCATTTCCTTTATGTGTAAAAAAAACATGAATACCTAGAACTGAATGGTTAATAATTTAATTAATTAGCATTTAAAAAGGTACTGCATTTAGTTTTCAGCTATAAAACTCTCTTTCAGAAACAAAAGAGGCCTTTATGTTTAAATTGTCTTTGAGTGTTAATTGGTTAATTGTGAGCGAAGGTGAACATTTATATTTGAACAAAATAAAGAAGAGCAGCAGTGTAGGAAGTAAGGACCTAAGTTCTTATATATAAGATTGGTTGAAAAAAAATGTGAAAATTGTAAAACAACCACCCACTGTCACTACTAATAGGATAGGAAACTAGCATCAATGAAGCACAATTAGAAATGTGTTGACACTGGGTGTAAGGACACTTGGCACCAGTCACAACAATTTATGTGCCACAGTTTGACAACCCAAACTCTCACAGCTCAGAAAATGAATACATAGAGTGAGTTATGTCAAAGATGTATCATATAAGTGGGTCACCGCTTCATATCTTTAACATCTCATGTTCCTACCCACAGAAATTCACGAGGGCCAAGGAAATTAATTCCCCAATTGCTGTCAACAGAGTTAGGGAACGGTAATAAACAGCTTACTGTAAAGCCTCTAGCTACAATAAAACGGCTGTCAATAAAGCATGCCTGATATGGTAAATAAAGGAATTACTTATACAGTAACCAACAGATCTGTCTCTATTCTCTATACATAAAGAATGAGGGGAAGACAAGTGTTGCTTAAAGTAGCTCAGAGAACTTCACTTTTTTTTTTTTTTAAATCTGGCAGAAGACAGCAGGAAACATCAATATTTTAGGCTGCCATACTACTGACAGCTTTGCACCTGAGCTCCTGCATAAGTGTAAAACATAATAAAAGCAGTAAAAATGTGAGTACGGTTTTGTTACATGCTACCTGAATGCGCAGTTCACTATTAGTTAATAAGGCTGCGAAGTAACATAATTGGGCTAATTTAATAAGGCAAGGAGTGACATAATGAGTGCAGTAACCAAGGGCAACCAATCAATAATCACCTTTTATTTTTCCAATAACTCTATACTAATGAGAGGTGAAATCTGATTGGTTGCTATGCACTGTTGCACACAACAACTCATTAATGCTTATTGCACTGGACTTAAATAATATGAAATGACCTTACATGCTAAAGATGTGCAAGAAGTACAGTTGTAGAATACGGTGTGAAACATCACGAAAGCACATGTGACACACTGAGCTGTGAGTCACTCTACGTTCTATCTCCTTATACGTCTACCAACTACTGCAAGCATCCATAATTCCTAAGGCCTAATGCCAGTAGTTCCATTACTTATTGGGGATATAAAATAAAGATTAGGAAGTTGGTGCAGTACACCCTATCCATTCTGGATCTACTTTACAAACTCAAGAACTGGTTGCTCCAGTGCAACTGTCATTAAATAAAAGGTTTCTTTGGCTGTAGAGCCAGCCTGATCCATTCCTCCCCCATCTCTAATATACTGCAGGCTTGGCACCAAGCCAGTACAAGCCACATAGAACCTTACTGCCATCTACAGGCCATTCTGTTGGTCTTTAGAGGCAACAGACAAGTCTCAATGAAATAAATTAGACAGCTCTGCATTTAAATCTTTATTAGCAGGGAATTATTGGACTGAAAGCTAATGCTGGATTTTGTAAAATATGAGTTTCCCTGATCACTAATCCCTCTTTAGATGGCAAATTTCACAGCTAAAATGAGCTTTGACAGATTGCTTTTGCTTTACTTAGATGAAGAAATATTTACAATGGATTGAGTTTGTTCTGCATAATTTTTCCTCTAATTATTTGAATAAATCCACTTTCTCAAAGTATAAGTTTGCGTTATAAGAACAAGCATAATACAGCAAATGCTCAGTGATACAGTTCCTACACATTTCTACAGCGATATAGGAAAACTTTTCAGTATGACAGGATGGAAACCTGGGGGCAATTCAAATCTATAGCCCTGTATGTTCAACAGACCTGCATAGTAAACTGATCACTGTTATCCCTACATATTGGGAATAAAAACTAAACTAGTAACATTTTCTAAAAATGAAAGGACTTATTTAATAAGGCGATTCAAAGAGCAATGCTTGCTAACACAGCGAAGCAACTATCCAGATTTCAACTTTCATTTATTTTGGCTTGGTCTGAACAATGAAAAAAGGTTTGCCAATTGGTTGCTATAGGTTAATACACTTTGCTCATTGCTCCTGGCCTAATTAAATATGCCTGCAAATGATTTAGAGGGATTTATACACAGGAAAAAATATATAAAGAGTTATTATAGACTATTTATTTTTTGATACTTGTAGGACAGAAGAACACAATACATTGTGCGGCTAGGCAGAACTAGCAAAGGCACAGGACTGAAAGTACACATAAAACTTTTATTCAGCTACAAGCATGCGTCCATCATACCTGTAGCTTTTCTGATAAATAATTTACAGAATTAAAAAAACAAACAAAACAAAAGCAAAGTAACACTTAAAATGTAAAATACATTTTCCAGATGTGAATTGCACCCAGTCATGCATTTTTTACTCACAATTAGCATTTTAATGCAAAATACATTATCTTACTTTCCAGCAAGAGTAAAAAAAAGTTAACCCCTTTTTGTGAACATATAATTCTTGTCCATGAAATAAAAATATTTTAAAAGCAAAATCTTCTGACGTCTGCACAGTGGAACATAGGTAACATATTCAGTGTGAAAATAGAAAGTCCTCAGAAACTTTTTTTTTTTTGTTTTTCTTTTCATTACTGGAGTGTAGGGGTTACAGTGGGGCTCTGGTATTTAACATGCACATGTATGGTACAGTACAATCAGGAATGTACATAAGTATATATGCATAAATATGTGTATGCATATATATTCCGGACTTATGAGTCCTAAAAAGTCTGTCAAGACTCAGTGAAAAAAAAAATAGAAAGGGGTTGATTTTTTTTCCCTCTCAGTAACATGAGCAAGCCAAAGTAGACTGTATGAAGACATAGTGGCACTTTAATACTGGTTGATTGGGCACTTGTATGCAGTACTTATAGACCAGTAAAAGTGCTCGTTTACCTGTCTGGTGTGTAAAGGACCTTTTGTCTTGAAGCCTCCCTGGGAGCTGCACTCTGAGGCACTGAAGTGATCTGAACTAGTGGAAGAGCGTTTGGAGAGGGTGTCACAGCCCCCAACAAAGGTGTTGTCCAAAGGGAGTTCCTGAATGACATGATGTTTTTTCACTGACACTGGAGTATCTGCTTTAAGATGAAAAGCAGACTGCGGAGAGGCAGACTTGTAATGCTTAGCTAGGTCAGGGCTGTTAGGTTTGAAGGTGGTTGGGGGAGCAGTGCCCCAATCAAAGCGTCCAATCCCTTGTTCCTCCAGCTCAGCTGGAAGACTAATAGTCCCGTTGATAGGTTCATGTACAGTGTCATCAGGTTTAGATTCCTCAATGGTGACAAAATTCAGCAGAGAACTTTTAGGAGATTTTCGTTTCTTCCTTTTCTTTTTCTTATTCTGCTTGCTTTCCTGGTTTGGTGACATCCACTCTGCCCCTTGTTTGCTCCTCTGGGCAGCTTTAAATCTTGATGCATGCCGACACCGAACCAGAACTGTCACAAAAATGACGACGATAACCACCATGGCACCTGCCACAATGGCAATCATAATAGTAAGATAATCCTCATTTTGGTAGGGTTGACTGCTGTCTCCAATGTTTCTGTCTAACGGAGTTTCCATAGTCCTGCGAATTAAATCATGGATGTAGGAAGCGTTCCCAGCCGTCTCATTGACATATAAGAACACCAGTACCAGTGTGTGCAAAGGCTTAGGGTATCCTAAGTCACTGATATTTACCACTAGGCGGTGCAGGCCCACATCTGCTGCAGATGGTTTCTCTTCTAAAGTAATATTGCCTGTTACAGGGTCTATTCGAAACAGACCTTTGTTATTTCCACTGACAATTGTGTATTTCAGTTCGGCATTCATCCCAGTGTCAACATCCACAGCAAAAACTTCTGCAACAACCGAGCCAGGAATGGCTGATAGAGGCACCAGCTTAAATGATGTATTGGATGAAGGGGAGATAACTACAGGGCTATTATCATTAGCATCCATTATATTGATTGTTACTTTTGCAGTAGAAGAGCGTGGATTCTGCCCTCCATCTACAGCTTTGACATCAAATGTGTATGAACCTTGTTGCTCTCTGTCAAAGGACACATTGGACTTAATCAAGCCAGAATATGGATCAAGGACAAAATTTTCATTGTCGTTAAGTATTGAAAGTGTTACAGCTTTGTTCTCTCCTGCATCTGAATCTGTTGCTGTAATAACACCCACTGTGCTGTATTTTGGAAGGTTCTCGGATACAAAGAACTGAAAGTGGTTATGTGTAAACTTGGGACTGTTGTCATTCTCATCCAGTACAGTCACTATCACAGCTGCTTGGCTCTGCAGTGGAGGAGTGCCATTGTCTCTGGCTGTGACAGTAAAAATAAAACGTTCTTGCTCCTCTCTGTCAAAAACTCTTGAGGCTGTCAAAACTCCTGTCTTGCGGTCCAGATCAAAAAAAGAAGCATTGGGGCCAAGCTGATAAACGATGTCTGCATTCTTCCCACTATCTTCATCTGTGGCACTGATAGTGGTTAAGTAGAGACCTCTGCGGTTGTTTTCAGACACTGATAGCTCAATTACGGGTTGGGTAAAAATTGGTGGGTTGTCATTCTCATCCTCCAATTCCACTCTCACCAAGGCTGTCTGGTTGAGGCTTGGCTTTCCAGTGTCTGCGGCAACTATCTTAAAACTGAATTCTTTGGTGCCCTCATAGTCCAACAAGGAAGAAGTTTCTAGCAAATACTGGTTATCATAGACGGCTTTTAGGTGAAAAGGTACTTCTCTTTCAATGAAACAAATGACCTTGCTGTTGACATCCGTGTCTTTATCAGACACTGTGATCAGGGCTATCTTTGTGTTTATAGGGTCTTTCTCTGATAAATACACTGTACCATTAATAGGGCTTATAATATACCTGAGATCAATATTAGGTGGGTTGTCATTCACATCAGTCACATTAATAGTCACGGTTGCCCTTGCAGGTGTGGAGCTGCCATCTGTGGCTAGAACAGTTAACTTGTGAAATGCAGTATCTTCCCTGTCCAGCGGTCTCTGTACTGTAATTAATCCAGTAGTATTATTTAAAGCAAAAAGTCTTTTGGTAGCAGATGTCACTTGGGCACCATAGATATATTTGACCTCGGCATTGCTTCCTATGTCTGCATCTGTTGCATGCAACTGCACTACAGAGGTCCCTATGGGAGCGTTCTCAGGGATATGAACTTCTATCTGACTTTCTTTGAACACTGGTTTGTTGTCATTCACATCACTTACTATGACTTGCAGGATAGCAGTGCTGGATTTCTGAGGGTTTCCACCATCCTCCACTTTGATTTTCATCACATAAGTGTCTTTATGCTCTCTGTCCAAGACCTGCTGCACTATGAGCTGTGGCCATTTCTCCCCTTCTGGTGTCTCGACAATGTCCAGTCCAAAGACATTCTGTCCATTTAAAAGCCCATAGTGCTGAACTCCATTGAAACCTGTGTCAGGGTCCACTGCTGATGGAATTGGGAACCGGCTGTTTATAAGTGTGTTTTCTGGAATAGAAACGTTGATCACAGTTGAAGGAAACATAGGAGCATTATCATTGGTATCTGTGACAATTATTTTAATCTTAATAAGCCTGAAAAAGTCATTGGGAAGGATGACTACTTCAAGTTCAAAGAAACATTCATTTTCCTCAGAGTAAGATGATCCAGCACAGAGTTTTTCTCGGTCTATTCTGGTGGAGGTGGTGAAGATCTCCCCAGTAGTGCTTGACACCTTGACCAAAGGAGAGTCGCCAGCTTTAGAAACTAATCTGTAGACCAGGCTGTTACTGGTTCCAGTTGCAGCATTGATATGTGAGATATTCAAGTCCTTTGGTATGTTTCCAATCGGTACATTTTCAGGCAGTTCCTCTCTTATAGTGTAAATAAGTTCTTGGGCGATTGCAGAATCCAGCCTTAAGCAGGCAATAAGAGCAGCCAACAGGTAAAATTCCCTTAGGTCCATGATAATGTGCTTCCTTTGTTTTCTTGGATTTTAGGATTTAAGGGTTGTCGCTGAGAAATGGTGCCGATTTGCAAGTGGAGGCGTGCATGGACTGCAAGATGCCTTACATCTCATTTCTAATTGGAGCCAGCAGCTGTCAACACAATCACACAAACAAACAGATTTGTTTCATTCAGTACAATATAAGTCTATACAGACATAAACACACAACACATTTGACTTGCAAAAAGTGACTGCCCTCAGCAAAGCTTGTCATGTGTGCAAAAATAAAATAGTCTCATAAATGCATACTAACATGCTCGACATTATGTGCACATAGGATGCACTCAACTACTTTTCCTGATATCTTATTCCTACACAATTTCTTTTTCTAATCATCACTGTTTAATGTATGATTCACATCATGCACCTATCCATATAACTGTTGCCAATAAAATCCTAAGCCCTTACCAGTATTCCTTGTAACTGCACTGTCAGCTGCCAAATACAATTTGTGCTTCATTGCCTCTACTCTGGAGTCATTCCTCTTATCGGAGCCTATTCCTTGTGTCTTTGCTACTAGACTGCTATGATATGGAGGACTGGAAAAGAGTACAAGAGGGCTGCTGCAGCAACCACTGAACATACTTGCAGCCCCTGATAGCTAAACGATACTGCCTGAGCTTTCTGTCTCCTGTTACTGCTAACCTGGCAAGCCTCTACAATCCTTACTCACGCTAGCTACACACCTTACGATGCTTCTCTTGCAATCTGAATTTCTTGTGGCTCACCTAATATCTTTAATGCAATGCCAACAGATATGGGATGCAAACTAGTTCTACTATAATGAAAAGAATGCTATCATTTGTCTCTATATTCTTAAAAAAAACAGGATCTGGCCACTGTCTAAAAACTACATCATGTACAATCATTCAATGGTATCACACACATTGCAATCTGATCATGAGAAAGGAACATTCTCATATTTTTTTTTTTTAATTTTCAAAGTGATGATCACATTGCATTGTGTGTACCCCACAGACAATTCAGACTTGTATACAATCCAGTCTAAATGCAGTGATCAGCTCTGTCAGATTGCAAGGCATAGGTTGCCTTAACTAGTAATACATGTCTTGCAACTTACAGTCCAGAGGCGAGTTAACTGCAGCCACGGATGGAGCATCGATGGGTGTCAGGGTGACAGTTAGGCTCCTTTTTGGATGAAGAAAAAGACGCAGTCTGGTAGTAAAGGTCAGTTCCCCTGGATGTGATCTTCAACTAGTACTCAGAAAGACTTCTTGATGCAGCTAAAGTCGAGTGATTGTGATGCAGCTTCCATCCGCTGGCCAGTTTCTAATGTGATCTGCATTAGGCTGGAGAGAAGCTGCTATGAGCCTGTGATTAGTTCCAGCAGCGATAGAAGCAGGTACGGATGCAGGCACAAGGGCGCTCTCCCACCAAGATCTGGAGATACTCTCAAGCCAGTACAAAATACAGGCAATGAAAAGCCACCATGCTAAACTTCACTCTGTCCCCTCAAACACAACGGCTCTGATGCATCTAGGAATCCATCCAGCAGCAATTGGCAGAGCGACAATCAGGAGCACTTCTGTGAATCCTAAACCCAAAGGCTCCCTTCGAATGTGTTGCTCCTGGACGGTGATTTAGCAACTCCAAGCTGAGCACTCAGTTGCATTGTAAATCATTCTCTCCGCCGGGTCCACCACTCATCATCATCATTGTCATGTGCTCCAAGGTAGTAAAGCAGCAATCGGGTACCACATCCACTTGGAATAATCAAGCCACTTATATTTTCCATGGAGCAGAGGAGAATATTTCCATCTGTCACTGTAACAGGGATAGGAGAAAAGGAAAAAAAAATAAATAAAAAAAAAAAAAAATCAGGAGTCTGCAACTTGGCTGTGGCAAATGTCAGAATGGAAATAGAGCTTCTCACTGCTAGTTGCCAGAAATCCCCAAACGATTCGCTTTGAGATTGCAAGATGCTCCTTCTTCCCTCTTTATACTAGCCCTCGCACAGACGTGCATGAGATAGCCCTCCCTCTTTCCCTCTGAACTGGATTTCTTCATAGAACTCTCAATAAACCCAAAGGGAGGGCGTGTTTGCTCCCTGGACACGCCCACGACCTGCTGGTTGGCTGTCTACGAGTATGTGCTTGGGAAAGAGAAGGAGTCGAGGCATAGAAGGCTTCCCTTTAGACGTGCCCGCTGCTCGCTCCTCCTAGCCGGCTAAAGGGTGCTGGAGACTTTTTACTGCCCGCCGTTTAGTTGCTCAGTTACATTGTAGCAGCAGGGCTCTCAGTCAAGTAATTCTACTCAATCAATTTACAATGCTAACCCTTCTGAAACAGCGTTTTATACAAGCATAGGTATATTTATTCATATCTATGGTAAAGGCTATTATCAGGGGCGGACTGACAACTCATGGGGCCCCCGGACAATAGGGGATCATAGGGCCCCTATGTCCTTGCCCAAACTCAAAAAATCCTATGAAAAAGGTACCAGGGGCATCTCATGGGGCCCCCTACTGACCCCAGGCCCTCGGGCAGTGCCCCAGTTTCCAAATGGTCAGTCTGCCCCTGGGTATTATCATCTGTTATTATATCTAATCAACTATTATTATATCTTATCTATAATAGGATTATATTTGGGTACAATCTACATAGCCTTCTTATAATGGCTATACACATAAATTATTTTCTATAGGATGGTATTGTTGATAAATTTACAGTCTGATTAAAAAATTGATTGGAGGATCAAAAAAGTTGCTAAATAGGCAATACACTTAGCAATTTATACAAGCATAGGTATATTTATTAATATCTTATCTACAGTATAGGCTACTATTATCTATTATTATATCTCATCTATAATGTGATTATATTTGGATACAATCTACATAGCCTTCTTATAATGGTCATACACATAATTATTTTCTATAGGATGGGATTGTTGATAAATTTCCAATCTGATTAAAAATTCAACAGGAAGATCAAACAGGTCGCTGGATAGGCCATACACTTAGCAATTTATACAAGAGCATAGGTATATTTATTAATATCCTATTTGTGGTATAGGATACTATTATTATCTATTATTATATCTTATCTATAAAAGGATTATATTTGGATACAATCTACACAGCCTTCTTATAATGGCCATACACATAATTATTTTCTATAGGATGGTATTGTTGATAAATTTACAGTCTGATTAAAAATGCAATTGGAAAATAAAAAGGTCTCTGGGTAGGCCATACACTTAGCGATTTATACAAGCATAGGTATATTTATTCATATCTTATCTACGGTATAGGCCATTATCATATATTATTATAGCTTATCTATAATGGCACATCCCTATAAAAGGATTATATTTGGATGAAATCTAAATGGCCTTCTTATAATGTTCATAAACATAATTATTTTCTATACAATGGTATTGTTGATAAAATTACAGTCTGATTAAAAATATGATTGGAAGATCAAAAAGATCCCTGGATAGGCCATACACTTAGCGATTTATACAAGCATAGCTATATTTATTAATAACTTATCTATGGTATAGGCCATTATTATCTATTATTATATCCTATCTATAATAAGATTATATTTGGATAATATCTATATAGACTTCTTATAATGGTCATACACATAAATTCTTCTCTATAGGATGGTATTGTTGATACATTTTCAGTCTGATTAAAAATACAATCAGAAGATCAAAAAGATCGCTGACTAGGCCATACACTTAACAATCATATTGTATATTCTGCTGTCCTGCAATTGCATTTTTTTTATCCACACCGATTAGAATATTTCAATTAAATCAATAGATTTTGCTGGAAACAGTACAGGGTTGATTGCTAAAACTGGAAAGTGCAAAATCTGGTGCAACTAGACATGTTCGCCAAACATCGTCTAACTTCAGCTTGTTCAATTGTTGATTTTTTTCTTTGTTTAAAAATAACAAACGTTACAGTACCCACTTTGTGCAATGGTTTTGCACAGAGAAGCCCCAGTCCTCCTCTTCTCAGGTTGGTGCTCCTGGCCCCTCGTTGGTGCTCCTGGCCCCTCCCTCCTGCCTAGTGCCCCCAGAGCAGGGGTGGACTGACCATTCGAGCACTCTGGCAGTAGGGCTCGGGGTCAGTAGGGGGCCCCATGAGATGCCCCTGGTACCTTTCATTGGCTTTTTTGGGTGTTGGCAAGGACACAGGGGCTCCATGATCCCCTATTGCCCGGGGGCTCCATGAGTTATCAGTTCGCCCCTGCCCCATCGCATACACCTTGGCAGCACCCAAGCAGGCTTGCTCTTGAGCCATTGCTCTATGTGTCCATTCACACACAGAGCTACTCAGCCCAGCGCCCCCCACTGACTCCTCATTGGCTCATGGGCTGTGATAGGCAGTAGTGGGCACCAATGGCTACCACCGATGTATCAGTCAATGAGGAGAGAGAGACCAAAGAGAACCGAGGCTTTTGTGTACTTCGCTGGAACGAGATGGGGCTCAGGCAAGATTTAGGGTGGGGGCTTGGGGGGGGGGTGTAGCTGCAGACAGAAGGTTTTTTATCTTCATGCATAGAATGCATGAAGGTAAAAAACCTTGAGCCTTTTCCACTACTTTAAGCTTTCACAACATAAAAAAAACCCTGGAAGCTGAGAGCTGCTCCAGATTTTGCGTTCTCCAATTTTAGTAAATCAACCCCTATGTGTCTTTTCAATAATTCATAGATACCATCATATTATCTGATTCTGTAAAGAATCATTTGATCAGATTGTGCTGTGTATGGCCACCATTATGGACCTTGGTTATGTCTTTAATTTCTAAATGATACCAAATAATTATTGGGAATAATAAAAAGTGATTTAAATAGACATTAGTTACGTCTTTGATTGATTGCTAAATAATACCAAAAAATTATTTGAAATAATAAAAATTGATGTTAAAGCTGTTCTCCAGCTTCCCGTAAAAAAAAATAAAAGTCAGCAGCTAAAAATAC